TGTCAGTGGTGCCACGTGATGGGAGGAAGTTTTCCACCTCAAGAAAATCTGTTTAGAGGACTCAGGTAATAATCTTGCCAGCGACAGACAGCAGCAAGATCCCGCAGTAGTTGCCACAGTCTGACCGGTCTCTCTTGTTCTTATAAATATTGACAATGGAAGCATCTTTAAGAGCTTGGGGGATTTCCTCCTTTTTCCATATATTCTCCATGAGAGAGTGGAGACGGCTGGTAAGCAGAGGTCCTCCTACTTTATACACCTTGGCTGGGATTCCATCAGGCCCTGGGGCTTTGTTATTTTTCATCTGCTTGATGGCAGTAGCTACCTCATCCAGGGATGGAGGATAACCAAGGTGGGACAGCTCTGGATGCTGAGGAACCTGCTGGGTAGTCAGGACATCCACATAGGTGCTTTGGGTGAGCAGCGAATGGTAGTGCTCTTTCCAGCACTGAAGGAGACCATCATCTTTAATTAGGGAGTTACCATCAGATGAGCAGAGGGGGGCTGCGCCATGAGTGATTGGCCCATAAAATGTTTCAGTGGAATTGAAAAATTTGCACATCTTGTGATGATCTACAGGTTTTTGCATGCAAGCATGCACGCCCTCTCTCTTAATATTTCTTATTTTACACTTTTATATTATATTTTCTTCATTTCTAAGCCAAATCACTGGAGTATTGTAATAATTGTTTTAAAACTTTTATAGGCTGGCGAGTCAGGCCCATAGTTTACAGCCAAGGCCTTGGCCAGAAGGGCCTCCATACATGTTCACTTCTAACACAAACACACCCATGCTCTTCATTTTTCTTATTTTATATTCTAGTTTCTTTATTTCTAAGCCAAATCAGTTACACAGAGTAGAATAATTGTTAAAGAGATCCTTTTTTTCCGAGACATGCGCCGGGAGTCAGCTGGATGACATGCCAGTCAGCTGTGGCCTGCCAGAGATGGTAATGCAAGTTGCCATTGCTACACATAATAAAACTATAAAGGTTGTGGAAAAATTCTATTAATACTCTATTGTGACTTAGAAATAAATAAAATATATTATAAAACTATAATATAAGAAATGCAAAGAACATGGGTGTGTATTCTGTGCGGGAGGTGATCATAAGTGTGGAAGCAGAAAGCAATTTGTCAATAGTGCATCTGACAATTTGGCTGGTTAGTGTAAATGCTCACCACACCACCACCTCTGCTGTAAGTTTACTCTATCCTCTTTGTCACTGATGCTCAAGTTGATTTCAGCAGAGAATATTTTGGAAAAATAATGAAAGAATAAAAAAGCTAAAATTTTACAAGATTGTGCACACATTGTATCACACTCAGCTGGGATGTGCTGCCTCTGCCAACTGACCCATAGCAACTGTTGCTAAGGGTCAGTCAGCAGAGGCACACAACCAAAACCCCCTCTGTAAATGTGGCAACTGAGGCCGAGAGGGGTGCAAGTTGAAGTACCGTACAGTATTTTACAGCACATAGGATGCATTTTTTTGTCTGAAAAAATGGCTAAAAAAATCAGCCTTTGTCCTATATGTGAAGTTCCTAATGAATCCCCCAGTTGCTGTCTCTAGTAGGCTTAATTATACCTAACCCAACTCCAGGATTAAAAATATGTTGCTTTCTTAAACACAATATTTTTATTTTTAATTACAGTAAGATCTCATATATCGCGCGATTTCACTTCGCATTTTTTAATTTCACGAGCACTACCTAATGTAACCAAGTCTTACGGATATATTTGGCGTAAAATATTGTGAATTTCGCGAGATCCAGCTAGCTGAACGCGAGATCCAGCCAGCTGAACGCTGGCCACTGTCTTGAATGCCATCACAGCCCTTATACCAGTTACTGTCATTTCTACTACAGCGCGTGTTTTGTCAACGCGAATTGGTTGCAACGTGATTGATGAATAGGGGAACGCTGTTTGTAAAATGCGAACTTTTGCATACGTATGTTGGCTATAGCACGATTCCATCCTCAATGTTTTGAATCCATCCTCAACGTTTTAAGCATGGAGCAGGGTTATGCAATGTTTACAGTTCACGTTCGACATCACATGTTCAATTGATTCATGTCTTTTGTTTGTGAAGTGTTTTTTGAGAGGTACTCTGTATATTTTATTTTTTTTTTTTTTTTTTTTAGCTGTTACCCATCAATACTGTATGAAAAGAATAAGGAAAAAGAATGTTTCACGGTGAGGACTAATAACGGTTTACACCGGCGCTCTCTGTTTACACCACGTGATCAGTTGAATCTCGCGGTTTCTGTCAATTACTCCGTGATTTTCGCTATTTTCTGCAATTTTGTTGTGTTAGCTATGAATATGGAAAGACAAGGTAAGAAGAATGTTTCCATATCTTTGTATGTAATGTCATATTTGTCCAATGTATATTTTCAGCCTTCGGGCTGCTGAACTTTTTCATTAAACTGTTAAATAATTACTATTATTACATTTCTTTGCTGGCTCAGTGAGGAATGGGAGAAGGGCACAGAGTGTAGGGGGGAAGAGAGGGGGGGGGTCGTTGCTAGGGAATCGGCATCCCAGCTAGTTTTGTTACTATGGCGAAGCACAGAGTGTATGCAAATGACTATTGTGTTAAAGTTTCATTTGACTTTTATTTACTGGTTTGGCAATACAGTATTATTTGTTGTACCTTATTTATTGGTATTACTTTTATTTATTCCTCACATGTACTGGTACTGTATATATTATTTTAAGAAAACTATGGCTACAGGAGGAAAATACACACTAAAAGTTTATTCCTCAACATTCCCTGCAGAAATGGCAGTGCGTCTTAAATACCGCAAAATACGGTACAGTATCTCCAACCATACACTCATACACTCACTGTGATTTTTCCTGAGCCAAGGGCATAAAGTTGAATGTGCGTAAGATGCGACACGAATGTATAGCAAGTGGCAGAAAGGCCGGTATATACAAGTGTGGCAGGAAGGCTGGTACAGTAAAGCCTCCGATAACAAGGGTTCGACCAACAACCTTTCTTATATAAAACCCTAGTTAATTTAGGACCCAATTAAATTTACGTCCTTATTTCATTCATATTTACGACCAAAATATAATAAAAAATATAATAAAATTACATTTTCAGATCAATAATAACTAAATCCCAATATGTAATATATATAATATGAAGTGCACCTTGCGCAAAGAAGCTGCCTGGCTAATAAGTGGTAAACAACAGTCGGAGCTCGGCGGCCCTTTTGTTTTCACGCACCTGGAAAAGGGAGAAAAACTTTCTCAAGTTTCTTACAGCATTTTTGCATCCCTATTCAACATGAGCAAGAGAGCAAGTATTGGTAGTGTTGGTTCAAAATCTAATAGAAAGTGTATAAACTTAGCCGAGACTCTAGATGTATTAAAACAATATGAAAAAGGTGGGAGGTCTGTGGATATTATATGGAGCAAGCAATGAACATATTTTCTGAAGTGGATCCATTAACAAAACAAAGCATTAAAATTTAAGTAAATGCAAATGACCTCTACATAAAGATGCATAATGAGAAAAGAAAGCAGCTGTGCAAGGTTCTTTAGACAGCTTTATTATTCGAAGGCCTAAACCATCAACTTCAGCTACACCATCATAAGCAGCTTCAACATCAACTTCAGGTTCAGTAACAGTTTTAGCAACAGCTTTAGGGAAAGCTACAGCTTTAGCCAGAGTTGAACCTGATGACTTCGACATAAGTAAAAACTCGCACAATATTCATTGGCTGTCCTTATGTTTTAGACTTTACCACCATTGGTGAGTAGAATTTTTGTTTTATATTCGTAAATATTATTTAAAACATATATGAACAGTAAATAAGTATTGCTGTCATATTCATATGAAGAGAAATGACAATATGTTTTCACATGTACGCACTTACTGTTCATACGTTGGCGTTCCCAATCGTCTCGCTTTATTTCTTTACCATTAGTGGTTAGCTACTTCTAGTGTTCCATTTATTAACATTAATAACATTACTTAAAACATACATACAGGTATTCTATATCAAGTTCACTACAGCTACATCCAGGGTCTTATTTTCTTCAGTTTCTTATGTAGAACCATCGTCACTCACGAAAACAATGCCGTCTTGTCTCCTCGTGTGTTTTAATATTCTACGTATTATTAATGAATTGCATTGTTCATTTCACATATACTACAGTATAAACATTAATTCAATAAAATACATATTCAGTAATAAACAATAATGAATCTTTTGTACATATTCTTAAGATAAATGACTGTTTCCTTGAGTGCGCACATACTGTATACATTGACGTTCCACTATCAGTCACACTTTTCTTTAACATCAGTGGTTACTTCTACTGTACATTACATAACATTAATTAAAACATACTTATTTTTTACATTAATTTTACTACAACAACAACCATGGTCTTATTTTCTTCAGTTTCAGATGGATAACTGGCATTGTGGGTGTAAACACTGACAACAATGCCGTCTCTTATCCTCTTGTGTGTTTTAATATTCTACGTATTATTAATGAATTGTATTGTTCATTTCGCATACCGGTATATAAAGATTAATTCAATCAAATACATATTCAATAATAAACAATAATGAATCTTTTGTACATATTCTTAAAAAGATAAATGACGCGGTATGCTTAAATGTGCACGTACGTATATGTTGGCGTTCCCAATCCATCTTTTTTTTTTCTTTGCCATTAGTGGTTAGCTACTTCTATTGTTCCATTTATTAACATTAAATAATGTTACTTAAAACATATATATTATTTTTTTTACATTAATTTTACTACAGCTACAACCAGGGTCTTATTTTCTTAATTTTCTCGTGTAGAACTATCGTCCCGGACTCCCGGCTGTAAACACAAACGAAAACAATGGCGTCCCATCTCCTCTTGTGTGACCCTATTATTATTAATTTATATTGTATAAGGTGCATTCAGAAACATTATTTAAAGAATATAGTTTGCACTTTTCATTAATTGTATTGTTTTAGGGGGAATTAGGGGGAAAAGAGGGTAAAAAGCCACACAAAAGATATGAAAAGGTCACACTTGGCAAAACATCTCATTATTATTGCTTTATTTTAATGGTAAATAATGATTAAGTGGCAGGAAGGCTGGTATATACAAGTGTGGCAGGAAGACTGGTATAAACAAGTGTGGCAGGAAGACTGGTATAAACAAGTGTGGCAGGAAGACTGGTATAAACAAATGTGGCAGGAAGGCTGGTATAAACAAGTGTGGCAGGAAGGCTGGTATAAACAAGCTTGGCAGGAAGGCTGGTATAAACAAGTGTGGCAGGAAGGCTGGTATAAACAAGTGTGGCAGGAAGGCTGGTATGAACAAGTGTGGCAGGAAGGCTGGTATAAACAAGTGTGGCAGGAAGGCTGGTATAAACAAGTGTGGCAGGCAGGCTGGTCCAGAAACTATTCATGCCAGAAATTTATGTTTGTACAACTCTGTAATCATCATATAACATTCTGAGCTGCCCACAGCTACAAAATCATATACAGGTATGACCTAAGCATTTCACTGCGAATAGAATTAAAGGTTATGCTTCAATTTAACAGCAATCCATTTTACAGAAACTCGCATTTAATGGCAAAATTTTTAACAAATATATTTAACGGTATTTTTGGCATTTACCGGCATATGCCGCAAAATAAAATTGGCAGGCGAGACCATGAGCTTCTTATGTGCACTGCTTCACTTTCACAGGCGTTGCAGTCATGTTTATGTTTATCCCAGTAGACTGCCTCTGCTGCCACATGTTTTGAAGATGAATATCGCATGAACCACGGCCTGTAAGCTTGCCAGTTAGTGACAAGGGGAAGAAGACCAAGGTACAGTCAATATGTCAGTTATGAAACTGTGTGAACTATACAGTGTTGGGAGCTCAACTGTGTATGACATTAAAAAGCAAAAGGAAATATTGCTGAAGTATTATGCAGACAGTGACACTAAGAAATGAATGACAAAACATAAGCATATGAAACAGGGAAAGGGTGAGAATCTTGAGAATTGCCTGATGCAGTGGTTTTGTCAGCATAGAAACGATGGTGTTTAAACTTTCAGGTGTGAATGATTATTCAGCAAACCAAGAAATTTCACAAGGAACTTAATTTGTAACATGAGTGAATATATCCACTTGGATGGTTACACCGATGTCACTCCAGCACCTACTACAGAGGAACATGGCCAGTAAAACACCTAACCTAACCTTACATAACCTAACTTTACCATACATAACCTGACCTTACATAACCTGGCCTTACGTAACCTAACCTTACCAAACCTTACATAACCTAACCTAACCAGCCTAACCTTACCTTACCTAACCCAACCAACCTAACCAAACCAAACCAACCTAACCACCCAAACCTTACCTTACCTAACCAACCTAACTTAAGCTACCCCAAACACCTGTACACACATCAAAATTCATCACTTTGGAAGCAAAATAAACCACTTGTTGCTTGTAAGTGTTGCTTTAATTTCTTAATATATTGAATTTGATTAACTAGCAAAATAAATGTACCTGTACTGGTTTAATGGCATGTCTGTGATTTATTTTTCAATTTAACAGCAAGGCTCTGGTCCCAAGCTTGCCATTAAATCAAAGCATTTCCTGTTCTGTTGGAATAGACTATTGAAGATACTGATCATGTACTGTACCTAAGCATTGCTGAAGGAAAATTTTCATGTACAAGGTACACTCTATCACTGACAATGGCAGTTCTTATCATTAATCTGAATGGGAGTTTCATAACCAGGAAACAGTGTAGCTGCCAATATTATCATTTGTTCTCAATTTTCAAAGATTTTACCTCTAATAATATTAAGACTGTTCTCACCTGTGGACTGATGATTGGCCAGGTACAACACACTCTCCTTCTTCTTTAACGCATCTGCATCACCATAAACCACCACCTGTTCAATCAAGGTAATTAATAAATGTTCCATGACAGAAAAAAGGTACACACTGTATTATCATTTAAACAAAATAATTTTCCTGGTCAATCAACTGCAGTATCCCCGTGTTTTGTCCAATCAGGATGTAGAATTCCTTACCTACAAAACTCATAAATCAACACCACTAATTCTGGAACACAGCACAAAAATTCAACCACATGGGAAAGGGATAATTTTCAGAATTAAATATTTTCAAATGGACCATCACATTCATTAAGGGAAAAGCAAATGTTTACCTGGAGGCCAGCCACTCTTGCACCTACAGATGATCACATGTAGATGACTCCATTCTTCATTCCTATTTGCTCCAGGTTACTCAACACAGGTATTAAAGCATTTTAAGATTAAATGTTCATGATAGTGTTTGTTTGCCGCCATGTTGATGACGTAGTTGTCCGCTCCATCTCACTCTCACACACGCTCAGTGGAATACAGCGCTGCGCCCACGTGTGAGATTTTCGCCTCTATAACCAGTGGTTGTTAGGGTCGATGATCAATAATGGCTTCCGCATTTTTGCCTGTGGGGGCTAGGGGAGGTGGTGGAGGGAGTGATTTGCCACCTGAATGACTGCTTTTAAAGTGAGGAAATTGAACTCTCCTGAGTCTACAGTGCGAAATATTAAGAAGAACGTAGAGGAGACCAAGAAGAGTATTGCGCTGGCTAAAAATATATCGGTAGTGATGGAAATGCGAGGCGAGCTATGAATGATAAAGGCGATAGAAACAGGTTGTTAGTGATAACAGAACATTTTCTTGTGAAATGGTTAGCTTGTAGAATGAAAGACAGTGCAAGTGTTAGCGGCCCTCAGATACGGAACAATCACACCAAGCACCTCAAAAACTCCCCCAAGCTAAGTGTTATATTACTCAAACTCTTTATTTTGATGATTGAATAGCATTCCTTTTATTTCAGCTAACAAAAAGTGTTAGGAGGGCTTCAAGGGGAAAAAATGGGTGAAATTCTTGTGGCGGCAGCACCAATAAACCCTTTTTACATGTATTTTAATGTCACACAAATAACGTTTTCGCTAATAACGGTGTTTTCAGGCACCTGTTAAACGTTATTGGTGAGAGCCTACTGTACATTACACCGTACTTGGAGTTGTTCTCGATACAAATTTAAGAACCATATATTGTAATTCACTTTAAGTACCTTCACTTTTTGTTTGTAACGAGCCTTACCCCTTTGACACGTAACAACATATATTTGGTCACAATACAAAATACCCTGTACAGTACTGATGAATGTGATGGTCCATTTCCTGTAACTTATTTTTCTGGACTTTAACCATAATAAAAAATGAGTTTCACATTGAAATAAAAAAATAAATGTAAATAATAAATGTTACAGAAAAATATGGAAAGCAACTTACAGAATCATGATACATTAAGAGTCTATTGTATTAATGTAAATTTTTAAGCCTATGTTGGTTTTATAACTATACTATACTGTTCTTATTCCTTGCTACAAATAATCTTTTCTTCCCTCTGAACACTTACTTGTGTTCTAGTACAAGTCTCAAAGAAGAAGAGCACCAGACGCTGGTACAGGGAGTACAGTTTATCATCACCCCACTGGTACACCCAGTTAGGGAGCACCAGAGTTGCACCCCGCCACATCAGCCACACTCCGAGGTATTCTGGCGCCGCGCCAATCATCATCACAGAGCCGAGGGCATACCTGTTGAGGAAACACTTTGTATAAGACATTCCTTTCTGGGGTCATTGATTTTATCATGTCCTGTACCATACGGGGTTCTATTCATTTTGCATGTATAGGATTGGCAATCTACCTCACAGACATTCCTCCTAAAGAATAATACAGTACAGTCTTCAGGCATAAAATTACCTTTATAAGATAAATTGTAGGAGTATCTTAAGTCTGTGCTCTGACAGTCATACTCATATCCACAATATACAAAATAATTCTACTTATATTAGTCTCAAAAAAAAAAGAGAGATGTGTATTACGGTTTCTCATTTTTTTGGATACTGGGACAAAACCAGTTCATGTCCAGGGATCCTGTAATGGTCCAGTTTACTTAAATGAACATACAGTAACCGGCATATTTTTATTGAAAATGTACTTACACATATCATAGTTCCGCATAATATTTATACATATTATTAGAAAGAAAATTATTCCTCATAATATTTAACACAAAACATTACAGTAAGCCCTCAATAACATGGCATTTGTTACCTCAGAATTTCATACAACTTGGCATGAATATGCTCTCGGAATGTATTAGTATAACTCGGGAAATGCTGAAATATATAAAATTATCTGGGAAAATCTCAGCATATCTGGCAACCTGCATCACTTACCATGCACCTGTGTCACCTACCATGTATCTGTGTCACCTACCATGCCTCTAATAATAATAATAATAATAATAATAATAATAATAATAAACGGTTTATTGAAAGAGCTTGGCAGCCAGAAGGCTGAAAATATACAGTTACATATTTGGGGAATGGGTTTCGAATTACAAATAATATACAAGTAACATAAGTGACACAAATAAGATATATAATAACTAGATGGGGAAAAGCTCAAACTACAGTTCATTTCAACATAGTGACAGTGCAAGGAGTAGTGTTTACTGGAATTGAATACACTGGTTTTATTACAAGTTATTGATAATTTTACAATGGTTGGGACTGGGCTGTTCTTTTAGCGATTAGTTCATTATGCGTATGGGCTGGATGCGGTTGTGGTGTCGAACAGCAATTCTCGGACTAGGGATCTCAGGTGGTAGTAGGAGCCGGTGTCGAGGATGGTGTAGAAGCCTATACCAAGTTGCAAGATGAGTCCGTGGTGATGGTCAGTGAGAGTCGAAAGGGTCAGTGTGTTGAGCGCTTCTTGATATGTGGAGTAGGAAGGGGAGAGAATAATCTTGCATGCCCTCTTTTGCACTTTTTCCAGGTGTTTACGTTGTGTGGCATTTAGGGAGGAAGACCAGGTGGGGGAGGCATAGGTGAGCTTGGGAAGTATGAATGTTGTGTAAACACTGAGGAGCTCGTGTGCAGGAACTCCGAGGGACTTGAGTCAGCGGAGGAGGTGGAGACGGAAACTGGAGGATTTGACAACTTCACTGACGTGTGGTTTCCAATTTAGTTTGTTGTCTATGGTGGGCGAGGAGCCCGTGGAATCTACAACCTGGGTGTGTTAGGACCTAGAGTAATGGGGAGGTGGGACAATGTCGGAGGAGAGGTTGATGTGCATAACCATGAATGTCTTGGTATGGTTGATGGTGACATGGTTGTTGGTGGCTGATTTTGGAGACTGTTCAATAAATCCTGAAGGGCGGTATGTCAGAGCAGAATTGTTGCCAGCTGATCCCAATGGTGGAGTCGTCGACACATATTTCAGCGAGCAGGGGTTTCTCTTAGGGCATCATTGATGAGCATAAGTAAGTGGTCCCATCTTGGTGCCAGGGCGCGCCACAGGTGAGTGACTGAAGGTGGGGAACAGCCCCTCGAGCGCAGCAGTGTCGGCCTGACCCTCTGGCCTCTGTGTCACCATGCACCTGTAATACCCCGTATACACCTGTGTCACCTACCATGCATCTGTCACCTACCATGCCTCTGTGTCACCTGCCATGCACCTGTGTCACCTACCATGCCTCTGTCACCTACCATGCATCTGTGTCACCTACATACCTCTGTCACCTACCACCTGTGTCACCCATCACTGCCACCTACCATGCACCTGTGTCACCTACCATGCACCTGTGTACCTACCATGCCTCTGTGTCACCTACATGCCTCTGTGTCACCTACCATGCATCTGTGTCACCTACCCTTGCCCCTCCTGTATGCACCACCCATGCATCTTTCCATGTCACACATGCATCTGTGTCACCATGCATCTGTGTCTGCCTACCATACACCTGTGTCAGCTACCATGCACCTGTGGCTACCATGCACCTGTGTCACCTACCATGCCTCTGTGTCTTTCACCCCAGCACACTCTGTGTCACCTACCATGCTCTATGTCACCTACAGCACACCTGTGTCAACTTCTGTGCTTCTATGTCACCTACATGCACTTGTGTCACCTACCATGCCTCTGTGTCACCTACCATGCACCTGTGTCAGCTACCATGCTTCTATGTCACCCTACATGCACTTGTGTCTACATGCACCTGTGTCAACTACCATACTTCTATGTCACCTACATGCACTTGTGTCACCTACCATGCCTGTGTCATCTACCATGCACCTACCATACATCTATGCTCACCTACCATGCATGTGTCCCCACCTCTCCATGCCTCTGTGTCCCTACCATGCCTCTGTGTCACCTACCATACATCTGTGTCACCTACCATGCATCTGTGTCACCTACAGCCACCTCTGTGTCACCTACCATGCCTGTGTGCTCACTACCATACATCTGTGTCACCTACCATACATCTGTGTCACCCTACCATGCCTCTATGTCACCTACCGGCTGTGTCACCTACATGCCTGTGTGTCACCTACCATGCCTGTATCACCTACCATACATGCCTACCATACATCTGTTTCACCCTACCATGCCTCTGTCACCTACCATGCCACCATGTCACCTACCATGCCTGTGTCACCTACCATGCCTGTGTGTCACTTACCATACATGTTTCACCTACAGCTCTATAATACCTACCATGCCTGTGTGTCTACCATGCCTGCTGTGTCACCTGCATGCCTGTGTGTCACTTACCATACATCTGTTTCACCTACCATGCCTCTATGTCACCTACCATGCCTGTGTGTCACCTACCATGCCTCTATGTCACCTACCATGCCTGTGTGTCACCTACCATGCCTGTGTGTCACCTACCATGCCTGTGTGTCACCTACTATAATGCTTCAATCTTCACCTGCAGTGCTGGTAAGTTACTTTTTTACATTTAGTAATTACATGTGCTGTACACATATATGGGTCGATAATTTTTTATTGTATTTTTGTAAGGGGGGGGGGGAGAGCCTTGATAAGTCAGAATTTGGGATATCAGTGAGGCCAGAGCCCCATGTGTGACGAATTATCGAGGGTTTACTGTACTGTACTATACAGTGGGGCCGGGATATTTAGTGACTTTATAAAACAATTTTTTTATGTAGCGGCTACCAAAATTATCGACATTTTCCTATGTATATAGCGATAAATTTATTTACAGAAGACTCATAACTTATGTGGGGGTTATAAAGTCAGAAACACTCCTAAAATACCCTAAAGCGCCCCAAAAATACGAGTTGAAAATTTTGTATCTCTTGTACAAAATACATGATGTCTAAATTTAAATTATTTACTGTCTTGCAAGGATTCCAGCAATGCAATTTATATTCTGCTAACTTTAGACTGTACCATTTGATGTCAAGTTTAGTTACTTTTATTGGCCTCTAGAACCTAACCCTATTTCCCCATTAATTACAAGTAATTATATATCGCGATTTAGTGTATAGCGAACAACCTTGGACCCTATCTTGCGATATATCCCGACCCAACTGCATAAGCTTTCCAAAATGACATTAAATCTGGGAAAGCACAAATGTCTAGGGACTGGATTGCACGTTTGTACACATTTCGTGTGTAATAAGACTGTAATGTTTTCAAAATACCTTGGTCCATTGGTTTTAGGATAGATGTTGTGTTTGTGGGCAAGAATAAAATTTCTACAATAGGATGGCTGAACTGCAGTGTTTCCGAATTATGGCCCGGGGCTTACTGTATAGCGGCTCCCTTTCCAAGTGGTTTATTGTTGTCCTTGGAGAATACAATGTTGTCACCATCTCTAAATAGGCTGGGAGACATACAGTATCACACTCGGCATTTATTTTACACCATTAGATTTTGTTATTTCCACCCATTTTTATACAGTCATGAGCCGGTTAATGTCCTATATACGTTCTTGGAAATGTGACGTTAACCGAAATGGACGTTGTCTGATCATCACATAAACTTTGTATTTATACTTACGTATATGTGGAATACTATATATTGTATGTACATATACACTTTTACTCTTAAATCACTACTGTAATGTGATACAGGTGATAAATTTTTATCTCTTGTGCAAAATACATGACGTTTATATTAAAAGTATTCACTTTTACAAGGATTCCAGCAACGCCGGGCAGATGGGGGAGAGAGAGGGTGCGAGGGGGCGTGGAGGTAGTACGTTTAACAGTTGGCACAGGCCCAGGTCTAACGCGTGTATATTTATCAGTTCATAAGTGACTAAGCTTCTCTCTTATAAAAAGCCAGTGAAATTACCTGGGTGAATATAATTAACATTGCTGGGATTCTTGTAACATACTGATTAATTTGAATATAAACATGCTATAATTTGCGCTAGACAAAACAATTTTAGTTCCGTAATCAAATTAGTACATGTGCACTCCAGCTTTGCACTAAGGTCATTTATTTCTTTTATGTTTCTTTTAGTATGGTGTGTGCATGTAAATGGATGAAAATAAATGAAGAAATTTATGTAAATCTACCCAAAAATACAGTTGAAAAACTTTTTATAAAATGTACTACTACAGTATTGTACTGTACTGTTCATTTTGCATATATAAACATTAATTAAATCAAATACATACTGTATTCAGTAATAAACAATACTGAATCATTTGTACACATTCTTAAGATAAATGAGGCGGTATCCTTAAATGCGAACGTATATGTTG